CCTCTTGCCAGCAGCAGAGTGGTGACTGGTGGGGGTTCGGCACATGGTGAAGTCCACGGCTTGTGACGTTTCGAATGTATTAGGTTATGTTCATTGCCATTGAGTCCGTTTTGATTCCTTGGGACCCCAAGTACAACAGACTGAAACGTCCCTATCCTGTGTCATTTTCATGAGCACAGGGTGCTGAGTCCATGAATGTGGCCACCCTATGTTTTGATGGCCTTCTAGTCTCTGGGGCTCACCTGGCAATACCACAGGGGACAGTACTCTCTGGTGATCCACAGAGTTTGTGTTAGCTGGTTTTCAGAGGTAGAATGCCCGGTCTTTCTGCCAAACCCTGCCCACCTTGGTGACCGTGCTGATATTTACTGTTGGCATAACGCCCAGCATCACAGCAACATGAAAGCCGCCGCAGTACAGCAGCCTGACAGGTGGGGGTGGCGGAAACTACATCATGACCTATAAATACTCCCCAGGAATAGAACTGTGAAAAACCCGCTGGGCTTGACTGCTCCCTCCCTCTGAGGATGCACGTTTCCTTACACTTGTTCTCTACTTAATGCCCCCTGCCTCACGTTCCTGACGCCCTGCTTCTTGAGAGTGAAAATCAAGTTAATTGCTTGTTTAAATTCTGGTGTTAGTTGCCTTTTATTTTCTTTCAGACTCTCAGTTCAATCTTTAACATTGACATGGTGAAAGATAAGACTGCAGAAGAAATAAAACAGGTAAATGAATGAAAATGGATTGGCAGGCTTTAGGAAAATAGGTGCTCTTTGAACCAAATCTGAGTGTAAACGGGAGCATACAGTTCTTGACATCACTTTCTAGACAAAATGTCTTACAAGCCAAGTTGATGAATTATATGAATAGTGGCATAAGAAAACATGTTTTTTGTGGTCTCACCCCTGTATATCTGACCAACTCACATTTCCCCTCTCCTTTTTTATTCCTACTGCCTGCATGTTGTTTGAAACCATCAGACTGTCATCCTGGATTACAGCACTAGCTCTAAATCGCTTTCCCTGCTCCCGCTCCATTTGCATCAGATCCTTACCACTCACGCCCTATTACAAGTTCTGCTTTCTTTCATTATGGGGAAGCTTAGTGTATTGCTGGGAAGACAGACAGTAGAACCACAGGTGCAAAGGGATGGAGGACAATAAGAATGATGGTAATGAAAAAAACATGAACGCAGAGCATGCGTGTGATAGATAGGATGCGGAAATGATAAAAAAGCAAGGCACCGCATCACATGTGCTATTCTCTCTGCCCAGGAAGTTGTTATCTCCCCATCTGGGTGTCCCAGAACATCGCCTGTCTTCTAAGGAAGAGTCTGTGTGCTTCTTCCTCCGTGTAGTCTCCATGACCATTTATGTCACTCAGACATTATCCTAGAAACTGCTGTGGCACTTTGTCCCTCACAAGATGCCTAGGATATATTGCTTCTTAGTAATGTTTACTTATGGCTTTATCTCTTTCACTAGTTAGCAAGTCCCCTGCAAACGACCTCTCTCTGTTTTGTCCCTAATTCTTTGTAACCCCAAAAATGCTTAGAAGAACATATGCTGATTGGTGAATAATTGATTGAGGATGTTTCCTACCTTTTGGTATTTCCATGATGAAGATCAACCGTGATTCTTGGATACCAAGCTGAGGTAGGACGTCTGGTCCAACGGCGTCTATTCTTCCCGTGGAAGACTTTCTGGAAACAGGAGTTTAAGAGCTGCCTGCACAAAGACAGTGCTAGCTGATAAAAGCTGCCATCTATTTTTAGTGCTTACCCTGTGCCTAGAATAACCTATATACTTGAAGTTAGTCCTCACAATAATCCCATGAGTTATTATTGCCAGTTTTCTGGTGTTGTTTAGAGCAGCTGTTCTCAAGCATTGGGGGGGGTTGAATGACCCTTTCACAGGGGTCATCCGATTCATACCAGTAGCAAAATTACAGTTATGAAGTAGTAACGAAAATAATTTTATGATTGTGGGGTCACCACAGCTTAAACTGTATTAAAGGGTTGCGGCATTAGGAAGGTTGAGAACCACTGATTTAGAGAGTTTGGGTGATTTTCCAACAAATGATTGGAACGAATTTGTACCCAGCTCCACCGCACTTCAGACTCTGGCCTCTGACTGTCTGCCGGCTTGGTCTCTGAGAAGGTCTGTAAGGTGCTGGGGAAGTGTGACTTTTGAGAAGGAAGTGAAAAGATATGGGAGGGGAAAAAAGATTGTCATATGCAAGACATACCTTAAGCAGAATGATTAACAAGGCCTTAGAATCAAATTCTCTGGCATGAGTTGGTTATCAAGAATCACAGTAATCATGCAGAAAGAATGGATGATATTAATCTTTATGTAACCATAGACTTGTAATAGCATAGGTTGCAAAGATGACCCATATATATCACAGACACCTTCTCTCTTTTTTGTACAGATTTGGCAGCAGTATTTTTCAGCAAAAGATACAGTCTACGCAGTTATTCCTGTAAGTAGTTTGGAGAGCAAAATGAAAGTGTTGTAATAGGAAGGTCAATACTGTAACCCTGGCAGGCAGTTGCCTTTACTTTCCCTAGGTTTATTGCCTCCTGAGAACTTGTATATTACAGCTCTGAGGGTTTTTATTATGCCCTGAGCACCAAAGATTGGAAGCCCCATATGGTATATTTATGGCTCTTGTTTTTCCTCTTTCTGGTTTAGAAATGTCTCTTTGAGTCAAGTCTCTGACAAGGGAGCATGGTGTAAGTTCTTGTGACCAAGCAATTTCCAGATGTCTGTTATTGCTTATGGTGTTTTCCTAAAGACATGGCCACGCGTGCGCAGCGTTTTCCCCTCTGAGTGACTTATGCCTGGACCGACTTGGAGCCTCTTAGTCTTTTTCTGGCATTTCCCATGAGCAAGTGGCGTTTTCTTGTTTTTTCCCTCCCTAAAATTACTGGCTTAGAGATAGTCACTAGCCATTGCTTGACCACTGAGATCTGTAACTGGGAAGGGTTGCCACTGGCTTTCTCTGGTTTGATGTTCCTCTGCTGACCGCCAGCATCATAAAGTAAGTATCTGAAGTACTAGCTTCTCTGCTAGATCTTCCCTGAAGAAGTAGCTTGCTATTGTTAAGTCAGTTCTGACTCCTACCAACCCTCTGTTCAACAGAATGTAACACTGCCCAGCCCTGTACCTCCTCACAGTTGTTACATTGGAGCTTAAGTTAGTATGTATCAGCCGCAAGTATATCCTGGGCATACATGTTCCGCGGGGTTCCTATGGCTTGAAATGGACTTGGTGACGGTGGATGTGGTTTTGGTTGGTGACCTTTTGTATCTTTCTGTTGTTGTTGTTTGTGAGTTAAGTCTACTATTTTCTGCCCTACAGGGAGAAAAGTTTGATTTGATCTGGAACCGTGCCCAGTCCTGTCCAACAGTAAGTACCCAGTGATTATATGAGGATTGCTTATCAAGGTTGCCAAATGTGTTAGTCTGGGTAGACTAGAGAAACAAATCCACAGAAACTCCTATGTATGTAAGAGAGTTTTATATAAAGGGTAAGGGTACATTAAGAAAGCATCCCAATCCAATGCTTTCCAAGCCCCTAAGTCCAACATTGGCCCCTGTGTCTGACCCTGATCTACAAAGTCCTCCTCAATCTCACAAAACACTCAGTGACACCGACTGCAGGAGGAAAGCTGAATCAGTGAGCTTCTAAGCATCTCAGTGTTGGCAGGGGTCTCCACGCGGCTGTTCCAGCACCCAGGCTGCATCAGGGTAGGTCCATGTGGCTTCTCCTCAGGGATGCCTCGCAGGAAGTGAACATTGCCAGCTGAAGCAGGGAACTAACTAAGGCAGCTGCACCCTGGTCAGACCATCAGAGCAAAAGACCCAAGAACTAGGAAGGCAAGGCTCACCGACCCATTTATCTCTCAGCCCTTCAGCTAATCTCACATGTGTTTATTGGCCAGGTTTGCACAATAAACTAACTATCTCACCAAACCGGGTGTCTTTTAACCAGGGATAATCCAAAAATCTTTTTTAACAAATTATGATAAAAATGTTAATATCAACTTAAAAAAAAGAGTCTCTTAACTCAGAGCTCATGGGTGGTGCAAATGATTTATGGGCTCTGCTGTTAACTAAAAAGTTCGAATTTGAATTTGCCCAGAGGCTCTTCAGAAGAAAGGCCTGGTAAACGACTTGACTTCCCCAGATCCCACCACTGAAAGCCCTCTGGAGTGTAGTTCCACTCTGGCACACCCAGGTTGCTCTGAGTCAAAATCAACTCAAGGGCAAGTGGTTGATTTTTCCTTCTTCCCCCAGACTGGATACAAGTAGCCCCAACTTTGGACAGATTGCCGTTTTGCTTCAGATGTAAATTAAAACTTCATTTTTCTGTTGTTTTTGTGTTTATTATTAATCCCCTTTATTAACAGTATCTTTATAAATTCAATCTTCATCTTTGGGGGCTGGAAACATTACATATAAACTTACAGGTTAATACATACATTATAAAAATACACAAATCAAAGAAATTACTCCTGCAGTGAAGAAGAGGTAGATGACATTGGCATTTTGTCACCTGCAGTAATAACCCCACTTTTGGACTGTCCCTATTAATAAGGATCGGCATTTCTAGTCCGTGAGAAAATCAATGAGCGTTGTCTACGATCATTTTCTTTTTTACCTTCATATATTTTGCCTCCCTTTTTAGCAGATCGATCAGTGTATGGACACATATTTCCAAGTAACTGAAGCCCCTGGTTAGTTTTCAGCGGTTCTCAACCTGTGGGTCACGACCCCTTTGGGGTCGAACAACCCTTTCACAGGTGTCTCGCCCGATTCATAACAGTAACAAAATTACAGTTATGAAGTAGCAACGAAAATAATTTCATGGTTGGGGGGTCACCACAACATGAGGAATTGTATGAAAGGGCTGCAGCATTAGGGAGGTTGAGAACCACTGGTTTAGATGATCCTTTCACTGCAAAAAAAACCCAACAAACATTTAACAACTTATTTCCTTCCTTTTCCTTATTATTTTTCTTTCCCAGCATTTCTTTCTTCTTGTATACAGTATTGTTTTGAACAGTGAATCATAAAATGAGACCTGAAAACAAGAACATCAACTCAGAATGCATCACCCACCTAAATGTATCTGTAAAAGAAGAAAAATCGGATTTCGTCAAAATAAAAAGTTTGTTTTTCAAAAGGCATTTTTATGAAAAATAAAAGGCCATAGACTGTAACAAAATACTTGCAAAGCATATTCACAAAGGACTTGTATCTAGAATACATAAAGAAATCTTATGCCTCAATAATAATGAGACAGCTCAATTTAAATGGGTGGAAATATGAACAGACATCTCACCAAAGAAGTGGGCTGGCATATAAGCACAAGAAAAGATATTCAGCATCAGTAGTCATAAAGGAAATGCTAACTAACGCCACACCGTGACACTCTTGTCAGAGCCAATTTCACCTTCTAGTGACCCCATTTGATGCGCAGACCGCCATGTGGTTTTCTAGGCTATAATCTTGATGGAAGCATGTCTTTCTCCTGCAGAATTGCTGGTGGATTTCAACTGCTTACCTTTTGTGCTACCAGGTGCCTTAAGATATTCCTACAGTGTCACTAAGGATCCCTGGTAGTGCGGTGGTTAAGCACTCATCTGCTAATCAAAAGGTCATTGGTTTGAACCCAGCAGGCCATCCCTGGCAGAGAGATAAGGCCATCTGCTTCCATACAGATTTGTGGCCCTGGAGAGCCTGTGGGGCAGTTCAACCCTGTCTAAAGGGTCACCATGAGTCAGAATTGTCTCCATGGTAATGGGTTACACTGCCACTCCAGTGGCTACAATTAAAAGGACTAGTCATACTAAGTGTTGCTAAGGATGTAGAGTCACAGAAAGCCTCAAACACTGGTGGTAAAATGTAAAATGATATAGTCACTTTAGAAAACAGTTGTTTTCTTTAAAAGTTAAGTGATGTAACAACCATACTATCCAACTATTTCATCCTGTTTTTTTTCTAAGAGAAATAAAAGCATACCTCCATATAATTCCTTGTACATTTATAGCAGCTTTATGTGTAATAACCAAACCACTGGAAACCTGAGAATGCCTATCATAGGTGAATGAAGGAGGGAAATAATGCGTGCATTTACACATACATGTGCATACAATGGAATAACATTCAGCAATGAAAAACAAGTGGACTATTGATAACATGCAACAAACAACATGAGTAAATCACTAAATAATTATGCTGAGTGAAAAAAGGCAGACCTAAATATATAATATATATATATATATTATATGGTTCCATTTACATAAAATTCTAGAAAATGCAGACTGATTACAAGCAAATTACTGGTTGTCCGAGGAAGGTTGGGGAGAGAAGAGTGAATGACAAAGGGGCCAGTGAACTTGGGGGAGGAGGGCTGTTGAGAAGGGCGATACCGCGCAGGTGTCCTGGAACGGACAGCAGTTCTGTTGTGCACGGGCCACTGTGAGTTGGAACCCACTCGCAGCACCTAGCAGTGGGGATGATTTCACAAAAATGTATCCAGTTACACACGTTATACGTGTGCAATGCCTTGTACTTCAAGTATACCTCAATAAAATTCTAAAAAACATGCTTACCCTATCAAGGCTTCCACTGTTAGATAGGCACTAGGGCTGCCTCATCAAATGATGGAAAAACAACCCGTGTGTTTGGCAGTAAGAAGACAATTGCATGACTAATGTACATTGGACTACTGTACTTTGTTTTGGGTTCTATTCACTCATCTTCAATTTACAGTATCTCAGGCATAAAACTAATCATATCTTGCTGTTTAGTCTAGAGCCATGCTCCAGCGTCAGTCCCAGCTGATAGAACATGAAGTAATTAAGATCATTGGAACAAAAGTTAACTCCGGAGCATTAGAAAGTTTAGAAATTGGAAAAGATCCAAATGTTTCTCAAGAGATGATGAGCAACAGTAGATAAATTATGGTGTAGGTCCACAATAGAATTCCAGACAACAGAGAATAAATGGGTTAGAGGTAAATATATCAGCATGAATAAATCTCAAAGCATATTGTGAAGTGAAAAAAATAAGTTGCAAAAGGACACAGTTTAATAGTATTTATTTAGGTTTTAAACATTCAAACAGTATTGTTACTTATTTGTGGATATACACATATAGGTGTATCTCTGGTTCCTTTGGTATCTAATTCTATCCATAAATAATGCTATTTGTGGATGGAATGACAGAGACCAGAGGAAGCTTCGGTTGTGTCCCATGCTTTCCTAGGCAGGTAAGGAAGTACATCAGTGTTTGTTATCACCTAAGAATTTCATAACCTAAAAAAAAATTTTAAACCAAGCATTGAAGAAATAGAGGGATTGATACATGTGACTGGGCACTAAGCAAATGACTTCGGTTACTCGTCTGTCTCACTGTATATCTCTCTCCCACAGTTCCTGTGTGCCCTACCAAGAAGGGAAGGTTATGAATTCTTTGTAGGACAATGGACAGGTCCCGAACTCCACTTCACCGCACTGATAAATATTCAGGTAGGTAGCTTGTGCTCTTCCCCTACAACATGGTTTCCCAGATTTTTCTGGCCTACTGCCCCCTTTTCAGAAAAAAAAAGATTACTCAGCACCCCCTGGCAATTAAAAACTTTTGTACCATCATCCAGGATCAAGTGCAGCTCTCTTCTTTTGCTAACCCAGCCCCACACACCCCATCATCCCAGCACCCCCTCCAGGGGGCAGTATTGCCCACTTTGGGAAATTACTACCTTACCCCTAATGAGGGCACAGACTTTCTACCAAGTCCAGCAGGACTTGCTGTGGCACCAATGACTGGGCATCTTCTGTGTGCTGGGCTAGTTGTTTAGGCTTCTAGCTTTCCTCTGGTTCTTGTTAGGTGCCACTGAGTCAGCTCTGTGTACACAGAACGGAGCGTTGCCCGGCCTTGCACCGTCCTCACGGTTCTTAGGCCTGAGCCCATCATGGCAGCCACTGTCAGTCCATCTCGTTGAGGGCCCTCCTCTTTGTCCCTGCCCCTTGACTTCACCGAGCACGATGCCCTTCACCAGGAACTGGTCTCCCCTGACGACATGTCCAAAGTCTGTGATACAAAGTTTCACTATCCTTGCCTTCAAGGAGCATTCTGGCTGTACTTCTGGCTTATTGCCTAGATGTTGAAAAAGACCCCAAATCACCTGATTACTTCTGGCTCTTTCTTGTCTCTTGCCCAGACTTCTTTTACTGGTGCTTATTCATGTGCCTCACTGGCAAACGTAAAAGAGTTGTGATCTTTTTTTAACCCAAACTATACGCACCTTAACAAAGTATGTTAGGCCAGCCGGGTTGTCTAGAAAAACAAATCCAGGGACACTCATCTATGTATAAGAAAGAGCTTTATGTAGAGAAATAATTATCTATCAAGAAGGTATCCCAGCTCAACTCAAGTCTGTAAGTCCAATGCTAGTCCATAAGTCCTTCATCACACTCAGGTAGCTGCAGGCTGGTGACACAGAAAAGTGAAGCAGGAAGATCACAGGCCGATGAGTGCAGGTCAAGTGGATCCAAAATCGGTGGAAACATGGCAGGGCCTCCAACAGCTCTCAGGGTCAGGCAGCCCACATGGGGTGAACCCGGGAGCAGGCAGAGTCCCAGCAGGTAGGAAGGCGGAGGGGCAGCGATCAAGAACCAGACAGCATCAGGCTGTGACTTGGTTGACAGGTTGGATTCCACCCCACGCTTTCATATATCTTCAAAGTGACAAGGTCTAACTGCCAGAGGAAGGCCTAATATCCTGCATGTTTTATTAACCAAGGCAACACTTTCCAATGTGTTTCATTCAGTGATGCTGTCATATTAACCTCCTTTTTTTTTTCCATTCCAAATACTGGGTTAAGGGGTTAGATCCTTTCACCGAAAATTAAATATTTAGAAGAATAAACTAGATTCAAAGTAGTCTCACCTTTTAAATTAAAATTTAAAAATTAAAATTAAAAAAATCAGATCATGGTTAAAATTGGTGTTTTCTTTCAGGGAACCAAATATAGCAAACTCAACCCTGTATGATGATATTGACATTGAGGGAAAGAGGGTACAGAATAGAAAGAGGGAGCAACTTCAGCTTGTTATTTTATAGTTTAGCAATCAATTATTCAGCCCTTCTAACCAACATTTGGCGTACTTACTGTATTATATGACAAATGCTTATATACATGATGTCCTTTAATCCTCCCAGGTGTCCTTTGAGATACTTACTATTATTTCTGTTTACAAAAAAGAAAGTGCTAGTGCTGGGTTCAAGCCTCAGTCACCGGACTCCAGATCCTGTGGGCTTGATAATTAAACTATTGTGTTAGGAACTCTGCTGGGGCCTGAAGATATATTAGACAAAGGTCCCTGTCCTGTGACGCTCAAGTACAGGAGAAAGACCCAGACACATCACTGTGATCAAAGTCATCAGCATAGTTCTGGAAGTTTGCTCTAGAAGCCCGAGAGGTTGAAATAACTAAGAATACCCCATCTGTAGTTGGGTATTGATAAAAAGAATGCTTGCTAAAATTTTGAGATGAAGCCCAGAGCTCTTTTTGTGGTCTCTCTCTCTCTCTCTCTCTCTCTCTCTCTCTCTCTCTCTGACTGTATGGTTGTTTCTTCCTTAGCTGTGTGAGAGCTTTAGCTTTGATCCTGCACTTCTGACACCACACTCTTCCTAGTCTAGACTGGAGGTCTATTAACCTGTCCATTCCACCAGAAGTTACGATGTCTAGTTCTTTACCACCCCTCCCCAGATTATATTTTAAAGCTGCACATTACAAATCTGGCCCATGTGCAAACTCTCCAGCTGTTTGCTACAGCTTAGACGTGCTCTGTCCTCAGAGCTAGCCAAGGGGAGTAGATTTCAACTGTGAAATGCACTGGTCCATAAAAGTGGCAATTGCACAGGTACAGTGCTTTCTTTAGCATTTGATTTGGTAGCTGCTTGTGCCGTTTTGTTTTTAAATGTATGGCTATGATGAAGGATTCACTGCCTACTGTAAACACTTTCTGGGAAGAAAGCCAAGCCTTTTGCAATTGAAGACACAAATAACACTGTGCAAGCTGTCAGTTTTACCAGACTTTGATAGCCATGATCTTCCCTCCATGTACCAATCCTCTGACTCCCGAGCCACCCCCGGGGCTGGTAGGAGCCACAATTTCCCCTGTACTCTATTGCTCTGAAATTACAGTTCATTGTGCTGTGCTACCTTAGTGAGCTTTGCTCTGTGCTCCTCTTGGCAGACCCGAGGGGAAGCTGCGGCCAGCCAACTGATTTTGTACCACTACCCTGAACTGAAGCATGAAAAAGGGATAGTGCTGATGACAGCAGAAATGGACTCCACATTTCTGGTAAGAGTCACCTTTCATCTCTGTGGTTTTACCTGGTGGCCCTGAAGGTATCATTTTTCTACCAAACCTTACAAGTGGTAAAATTGCAGAAAATTCTAGTTTCTTATATACTCTCAAGGGAACTATCATTTTGTCTTGCTGAAGTTCTTCCAAGTTGATTTTAGTATGGATCCTCGGCTGCTTTTTTACATTTATCGAATCTAAAGAGCCCTGAGAAACATTTTTTTCCCCCTAACTCATTTGGCCCCAAAACCTATCTGACCTGAACTCATTTGGTAATTAAAATGTCATTTAAATTCAGGTGAAGCCACTTCAGGTCTGTATGAATCCCACTTGATATGGAATATCCGTGCATGTCTCCATTGTCGTTAAGTGCTGCAGAATGCATTCCACCGTGCAGTTTCACCTGTGTAGCAGAACAGACACTGCCCCGTCCCGCCCCGTCCTCACACGTATTCCTGTTTGAGCCCAAGCCGGTGACCACTGTGTCAGCCCAGCTCGTTGGGGGTCTTCTTTTTCACGGAGCATTTACTGTTCCATAGTGGTCTCAACCCGTGGCTCGCGAGCCCTTTCACAGGGGTCGCCCCGATTCAGAATAGTAGCAAAATGACAGTGATGAAGTAGCAGCGAAAATAATGTTTTGGTTGGGGGTCACCACCATATGAGGAGCTATATGAAAGGGTCCCGGCATTAGGAAGGTTGAGAACCGCTGCCTTACCAGGTCCTGGTCCCTTCTTTTAATACGTCCAAAGTACATGCTCTTAGCGAACATTCTGGCTGTACTTCCAAGACAGATGTGCTTCTTCTCTGCAGGCGATGTGTGGTCAAGATTCTTTACCAACACCATATCCAAAGGCATCCGGTTTTCTTCCGTCTTCCGTATTGACTGTGTGTCGTCCAGTTTTCGCATGCATAGGGGGCCATTGAAAATGCCGTGGCTTAGGTCAGGAGCAGCATAGTCCTCAAGGTTACAGCTTTACTTTGTAACACTGTAGAAGCATGTTTTCCCAATGCAGCACCTTGCTTGGCTGCTCTTCACACGGGTGTTGCTTGTGGATCCATGTTAAAAGAACCATTGACCTCTTCATTCTTTTCTCTCTTATCATGATGTTGCATATTGATCCAGTTGTGAGGATTGTTGTTTTATATTGCAGTATCATCCATACAGAAGGCCATAGTCTATGATCTTCATCATAAGTGCTTCAAGTCTTCACTTTCAACGAGCAAAATTGTGCCATCTGCATAATGAAAGATTGCTCATGAGTCTTCCCCAAATCCTGGTGCCATGTTTTTCTGCATATGGTCCAGCCTCATGGCTTCTTTGCTCAACAAACAGTAGATAAATATAATGAAAGGATGCAACCCTAATACACAACTTTCCTCATTTTAAAACATATAATATTCGTATTTGGTTTAAGTTCAATTGGAGCACAAGTGTTCTGGAATTCCCCTTTTAGCAATGTTATCCATAATTTATTATGATCCACATAAACAAATACATTTGCATAATCCATAAAACACAGGTAACCTCTTTCTGGTATTTCTGCTGCCGAGCTAAGATCTTACCTGGCATCACCACCCTCTTCCGAGTCTGGCTTGAATTTCTGGCAG